TTGGAGGCCATCGCTCTCAGGTTGGAGGCCATCGCTCTCAGGTTGGACCATCGCTCTTAGGTTCCTGCCAAGTGAGATGGGGAGAGTTCAACATGAGGCAAAAGATTGTCAAAGATAGTAAAAGTCTTTGGCCACGAGTAGTCCATGGAACAGGATCATGTTGAGTAAGAAACACGACGACCGGATCCGCCTGAGAAAAAAAGCCCAGGCCTCCTTTTTGGTGTCAAAATAGGTTCAACTCTTTCAGCATTCAGCAGTCCTTCGCCAGTCACATTGAGACACCTCTCATGGATTTCACAGTTGCTTTGTGATCCGCCAGTCGAGATGTTTGAGTCACCAATCGGGCCTGGGTTCTTTCTCGAACGAAAGAGTATCAGCGAACAGAGCTATCATGTTTGGAATTGGTCACGAGGTTTTGTCCAGCCTATCGTCCTTTTCGCTGTCCTGCAGTGTCATGTATGTACAGGCGACGCCTCTCGACGCCTCTCTCCCAAAGGGAGTGAGAGAATCCTTCGGCGTTCGTTGTTTGGGGCCTTTTTTTCAGCGCGACGAGGGGGTGGGGAGGGTTTCACTCGAGAGAGAGCGGGCCTGGGCAGACCGCACCCAAACGAAGGGAGCGATGCGGCCACGAGACCCGGCGACATGGTCGACCCAAAATTGGAAACCACTGTGTCTCTCAGCTCGGGTGAGTGGTACAGTGGTGATCGGTAACCAGAGTACTCAAAGAAAGGTCTAGGTCCAGTAAAAATATGGAAGATGAAGGTTCCTAGCGTTGTCTTCGACATCTTCGACTTCCACCGAAATTGAAAACCACGAGTCGCATGCGTCCTGGTCTCGTTTTGGATGCCTTCCCTCTCGTTCACCTCTTGGACTTCCTTTTCCCTCGAGTGCGACAGCGGTGCCACCGCACGGCGAGCGAACGCCGAACCCAGCGGTGCCACCGGCGGAGCAGAAGACGGTTGACGGGACCTGCCCAAGTGACATCCGATTCCATGGATTAGGAACAAGTGCATCGCTACTAGTAACAAGTGCCTTACTAGTAGTAACAAGAAGCTACTAGT